GAACCCCGTGAGCTCACCTACTAGCTTAGGTAGAAAAAAAAAACTACTCAAGGACCCATCAAAATAGTCCGGTCGCATAAAAACTCCATGGCTCATCGAAGGACGTGGCATAAATGTAGCATATGCAACAGGATTGAAGTATGCAGGGTTGAAAAAAAGTAACTTATAATGCTAACTTTGAAATTACACCGCTCATGTAGTTTCATTTATTTTCATGCCGATTGATTACAACCTCAAATAAATGAACTTCAGCTAGCTTTATCCACATCATATTGCACTCCATACTATTTTTCATTTACATAATATTTTGAATATTAAGCTGTATGGTGTGACACCTTCGTCTTTCCTGATGGAAAAGTGAAACTACTACATAGGTAGGTACTTCGAGTAAGTATTAATACGACTTTTTGGCGGGAACGCCATCGCGCCAGGAGCGGAGTTATTAATGAAAGTAGTCATCGGGACAAGATAAAGAATGAGTATATCAGAGGAAGTGTGAAAGTAGCCCCGGTAATCAACAAATTAAAGAGCGGGCGGTTAGCGTGGTATGGACATGTGATGCTTAGAAAGAAGATGCATGTGACTAGGAGATGTATGGAAATGGTAGTGCAAGGTAGACGGAGAAGAGATCGACCGAAGAAGACATGGATAGAGTGTGTGAATGACGATATGAGAGAGAGAGAGGAGTGAGGCGGCTGATAGAAGAGAAAAATTAACTGTGCCGACCCCACCTAGTGAGATAAGGTGGAGAAAAAGAAAAAGGGTCATCATAAGATATATCCTACATAAGACAAAATTTGACAGATGCCTGAATCTAACTAACAACAATTTCAAGATAAGTTCGCATAAGTACAAGTTTCGTACAATAACATTCGGTCTGCCACGCAATTTCACCCGCTCCGTGGATGATATTCCCTTTGTCGTTACCTTCAAAAAACTCAAGCAGGCTCCGCTCGAAAACATCGACTCGTTGAAACTACTCGCGCCCCACCTGTCGCACGAGACCTTCCAGGAGTTCCGACTGCAATTGTACCAAATTACATCAGAATCGGTTGAGCAGTTTCGCAGTGCGTAGAGAACAAACGAACAGAGAAGGGTGGGACAGAACTTGTACTCTAGAGTCCTAGAACTCACGCCTCAGGGTGAGTGTCGACTTAACAACGCATCACTGATTGGTCAAGTTACGCCAGCGACTTGGCAATGTGACAATTAAAGCGTACAGCTCCATCTAGCGAAGCGGGGCGACATGATAATATTACTCGTTGGACGATTATTAGTTTATTCCCTGTACGCTAGATGGCTCAATCGAGAATCACTCATTTACGTCCACAGATGGCGGTATAACCTAATGTTCCCAAAAAGGAAACAAAAAATTTACTCACAACCAGATTAAACAACACATACAAGTAAATCTTTTGGTTAATAAGCTCTAATTTTGTATAACACGCCACACTCATTTAGGTTACTGGGCTCACTTCACGACCTCTCAGACGCATGCGAAAGTGGTTCTTACGTCACACAGCATCTCATAACGTTTGCATCATCTGGAGGAAGTTATGTATGACCACACTGTTTATTTTGTGTCTTTATATTATTATCAACAAAAAGACTATTGAAACGAGTTACGCATGAGCATAATTGAGTGCAACTATCACGCAATAAATGCTCATTTTGTAACGTTATAAGACATCGTGAATGAGCACACTTGGCTGAGCCCTTGCTCTGGCTGAGCCCTTGCTCGCCAACCTATTCTGGTGAAACTGGAAAGACCTCCAGGCTACTAGTAAGCCATCAATAATAAAAAAAAAAGAATGTGCACACATTTATTGTTAATCCAGAGTTTAGTTTGAATCGACTTAAAAAAATGGAAGACCTTCTCAATTAGATTGTACTTTATATGTATGTTATCCTTTTATTTATGACTTAGAGTATTAAACGGTAGGCAGCGGCTTGGCTATGCCCCTGGCATTGCTGATGTCCATGAGCGACGGTAACCACTCACCATCAGATGGAGCGTGTGCTCGTCTGCCTGCTCGGGCAATAAAAATAAAAAAAGACTGAGCGATATTGATAATCTTTTTTTGAAAGCTAGTGCTTCCCGGGTGGTCGCGTTAAATTTTTTAATAAAGGTGAGCCCAGTACTTTGTAGTGTTATCCTTAATAATACATTTTTAATTAAGTTCGATTTGATGATATTTATTTTGTAAATTTTTTTTTTGTAAAAAAATTGTTTTAGATTCATGTAGAACTGAGCAATTTCGTTCCATGACCAAGCGCATTAAGCGTTGTCGTATATTACTTAATCTATGATTAAGTGTAGTGTTCAAATAATTTCTTTTAGACCAGAAACGCGATGACGTAGTGGAACTAAAAGTTAAAAAAACACAAATTTGTTAATACTGCACGCACGCTCGACTGTGATATAACCCTTCCCCTTCTAAAACAGTAAAAAGTGAGTCCATTGATTTTTTATTTCAACTCATAACTTCACTTTTCTATACACAAATCTACGCACATTATTTTTGGACTCAATTTCTTTCCCTACCTATGCTGCTGGTAGCCTAAGAGGCTATTTCAGCTCAGAGAAAGAATGAGAGAATTTGCTAACCCTAGCCCTAGCAAGAGCAGTGCTTCGCAGAATCTACCACCCGATCAAAATCGCGACCCACTGAGAAGTACAAGCAAGAAACTCAGTGCATTGTGTCTATGGGTTAGTTCGCTCGTCTACAAGACATGTCTCGGGCGATAGCTTTGAGTTGACTCGTCCCGGTCGGTTAAGTAATTATTGGCGGCCACGATAAGAGGGTTTTCATGTCGTACCGCTCTGTCGAAGTAGCGTTCTGACGCTTCCTTACTAAATTTAGGTCGTCGTGAAGATCTACATTCCTCACATACCACGGTGCCCCGACGGTGCTGCAGAAATGGGATTGGATGACCGAGAGGGAGTTAATATGTGTACGGGCCGCGTGAGCGAACACTACACTTGCAGTCACGACAGAACGTATGCAAATTTTGTAGAGTGTCACATTGTTATGAAGGGACAATTTATTTCACTTACAGATCATGGGGTATTCAATAAATGTCTTATACACCAACCTGCCTATAGTTAGGCAGCTTCGAAAACTATGTTCTATTCATGATGCGTGGACGTGGTTCGAAATAATAATAAAAAAATATATCAAGAAAACCTCAATTAACTAATAATAAAATAATAAAAAACCTAATAATAAAAAAATATATTAAGGAAACCTAAATTAACTTCCATATGTTTTAGCATTTGGTGACGTTAATAGTCAGATAATATTTTGACAGTTTGTTGTGCGCTTAGGCCGGACATAAAAAACTGTTTGTCGAAAACCTAAATAATTATTTAAGTGTTGTATTTGCTTTTAATTTGTGTTTTTTTTCTGTTTTTATTGCATACATGGGTGGACGAACTCACAGCTCATCTGGTGTTAAGTGGTTACCAGAGCTCATAGACATCTACAACGTAAATGCCGCCACCCGCTCTGAGATATGAATTCTAAGGTCTCAGTATAGTTAGAACGGCTGCCCCACCCTTCAAACCGAAACGCATTACTGCTTCTCGGCAGAAATAGGCGGGGTGGTAGTACCTACCCGTGCGGACTCACAAGAGGTCCTCCCTACCACCAGTGATTACGCAATTTATAATTTCGCGGGTTCAATTTTTATTACACCGTGGAATTCGTATTCCTTCACCGTGGAAGTCAATCGTGAACATTTATTGAGTACGCATTTCATTAGAAAAATTGGTACCCGCCTGCGGGATTCGAACACCGGTGCATCGCTCGATACGAAGGCACTGGACATGTAGGCCACGACGACTTAAATATTAGTGTAATAATGTACCTACATCTGTAAACCAACCTGTAGGTTTGAGATAATTTGAGATTAGTTGCAGAATGACAATTCGAATTTGACGCCCTGACCACAGACTATAGTATAATAACAGATGTTTTTCTGTGTGCGCGCGTAACCGTAAAAACGACGCAATGTGAAAGTTACAATTATCGCTTTAATGACAAACAAAAAAACGGATAGTTTACGTAAAAGTCACGGTCCACCTCGGTGCACCTTAATAAGGATAATGGAATTGAAATAGCTTGATTGCCTCCACCTTTTCGGATGTTATCCATGTACGTAATTATCGCGACTGTTAACAATGGCTTAAAAGAAATCGGCATTTATTTTCGGTTTTAAATCCACTATTTTTTTTAATCCTCAACAGACTTCAGTCTCGGGTTACAATGTGAGTATCACGTCCTTACGGATCCATCAGATCCAATAACCTTTGCATTAGACACTACTGGTGGTAGGACCTCTTGTGAGTCCGCACGGGTAGGTACCAACGCCTTGCCTATTTCTGTCATGAAACAGTAATGCGTTTCGGTTTGAAGGGTGAGGCAGCCGCTGTAACTATACTTGAGACCTTAGAACTTGTATCTCAAGATGGGTGGCGCATTTACGTCGTAGATGTCCATGGGCTCCAGTAACTACTTAACACCAGGTGGGCTGTGAGCTCGTCCACCCATCTAAGAAATAAAAAAAACTTTTAGCTCTAATACTAGGTGTAGGGACCCCGGTAACCGTACTCGTCGAACTCGACAAAGAGTTCGACGTGCAACCTAACCCATGAATCAGCTCGCTGAGTTTCTCGCCAGATCCTCTCAGCGGGTCGCTATTCCGATCCGGTAGTAGATTCATTCGCGAAGCAGCTACTCTTGAGTTATTAGGTCCCCTTTGGAGGCGCTCGGGTAGCTGTTAGCAAATCCCGCCCCCATGTCTGAGCCTTTGCTCGCCCACCTGCCCTGGTAAAACTGGAAAGACCTCTGGGCCACCAGAAAACTCTCAAACATAAACAAAACAATGCGGGTATCGGCGTTCAAATTCTGATGTCTATTAACTATGTAATATGAGAAGAGTTATTACCTCCAACTAGATCTAGAGGGATAAAAAAAGCTTAATAAAAAGAAACTCACCCCGTAGTCCAGCTAAACATCCGCTTCACTCGCTCAGATTTGAAATCAGTTGGATTCGACATATTGCTATCTGAAATTAAGATACGTATTTGTTAATACAATATACAGTTAAATCAATCAAATCGAGGGGTGAAAGAGTATTAGGCTTAAGCGACATTTCATTTAATAGGTACGCGACATTTATCTTTGTAATTAAAGGTCCTTTTTATTTGGTACTAGCTGACCTGACAGACTTCGTAGTGCCTCAATCGATAAATAAAAGACCTAAACTTTTCTATAAAATAAACTTAAAACAAACAAAAGGAATCCGTCCGACGGGGGACACATCAAAGGAAAAACAAAATTGTTATTTTTATTTAATTCCGAGCATTTTCATATTTATCTACCTTTTAAACCTTCTCCGGACTTCCACAAATAATTCAAGACCAAAATTAGCCAAATCGGTCCAGGCGTTCTCGAGTTGTAGCGAGACTAACGAACAGCAATTCATTTTTATATACTATATAGAGGACTGAAGATTAGCGTCAACAACAACTTCAATTATGTTTCCTCATTCAAATAACTGAAAACGTATTTTTTTCTCATGATATTTTTATTCAAATTTTAAACTTTCAATGGCTCTCCTGTAAAGTTTCAAAAATGTCGCTTAAAACAAATTAGCTTTCACCCCTCCAAATATCGATATCTAATATTTTTATTTCAGTTTATAGACAGACACCTGTGGCGTTTCTGGTGTCGATTGTTCCCGGGAACACTTTGACATCACGACGTAAATGCTGCTACTGACTTCGAGACATGAATTCCAAGTCTGAATAGCTTAACGCCTGCCCCACATTTGATATCGACACGCATGATTACGGCAGAAATAGGTAGAAGAGACTTCGAAGTTCAAAACTAGCGACTTTTTTTTTTATTGCTTAGATGGGTGGACGAGCTCACAGCTCACCTAGTGTTAAGTGGTTACTGGAGCCCATAGACATCTACCTACAACATAAATGCGCCACCCACCTTGAGATATAGGTTCTAAGGTCTCAAGTATAGTTACCACGGCTGCCCCACCCTTCAAACCGAAACGCATTACTGCTTCACGGCAAATAGGCAAAAGTACATTTTTTCCCATTACAATATTATTAAATTCTTTCACATTCGATGAAGTCATAATTGAACCTTCCTTACGATTATCCTCGCGATTTTTATTTTTGGAACGAAGTTCCTTATGGGACGATGCGGAGAGGTGGGTACCCTAACCGAAAAAAACGTCCGTAACGTAAGATTTTTATTAGTAATGCACATAGTGTAGGACTTAACTTTGTAATAATGTACAAAAGATAACATATTTTTTCATCATTCATTGACCACGATCTCAGAGCGTTCGTTTGCGCAATACACTAACTCTTATGCGAACAACCGTGAATGAAGTGTACCACAATAAGTTCGCACGTTACCGAATGACCGTGGATTGTTGCGAAACCTCCAGCTTTATTTTCTTTATACCTCGAATAGAACTTAAAATTAATATGTTTATAATAAGGAACTTCGTTCCTATCCGGTGTCCCACGATGCCACACATCTTTTTTTATCATACGTGGCCCGACGAAATCTGGACAACTTGGAAAAACTAATAGCTGTAGGTCACGCGGAAGGAAAGAGAGCCGAGGAAGACCGCCCAACCAGATGGACGAATCTATATATTAATACGTGAAGCAAAAACCTTGTATCCCTTTTTATGAAAATTGCGCGGACGGAGGAGTATGAAATTTTCCACACTTACAGAGAATATAGAGAAGAAGTGCACAATGCTAATATTTTTTTAAGATAATGCATAAAAGATACATTAAATCAATACAGAAAACATTACACTCACTACATACCATGTATTTGACCCACACACGCATTCATACTATTTATTTATTGTCAAACTTTTGTTCTTGACGTCTGTTGTCAAATTGAGAATAGATTAAATATTGTTTGTCTTTAATAATATTTTTCTATAGTGTAGTCTTGGCGAAATTTGTGATTATAGAAGTATAATAGTCTTTGAAAATATAATCTTAATAGTGTACAAACTTATAATTTCAATTAATTATAGTCGAATTTCGACTACTGCGGGACCACTAGTAATGTAAAAGAGGCCAGAAACACCAGCGTCCCGGGCGCCATTAAGCAGGCCAAATGCAGATAACGTTGGAGGAAGCTGCTGCAGAAATTGGACCAAGGTGGTCACGACTCTCAGTAATGAGGAAGCGACGAAGAAGAAGAAGATTTCCTACGTTACGAATACCTTACAGCTTTTGTGAACGATCATAAATTACTCTGTTTGTTACGTCTCGCGCCCTAATCACGTACACAATTTGTACTAAATCTAATATATAAAATTCTCGTGTCACAATGTTCGTTCCCATACTCCTCCGAAGCCGCTTGACCGATTCTCATGAAATTTTTTATGCATATTCAGTAAGCCTAAGAATCGGCTACTATCTATTTTTCATACCCCTAAGCGATTAGGGTTGTCCACCCCTAACATATTTTTTTTATTTGGACTTTTTTTTTTGTTTTAATGAGGTATTATGTGGTTGAATGAGGTTTTGTTATTTTTATTATATATTCCCTCATCGTTCACAGCACTACATACCTCTTTCACTCATTTACCACATCCTTACAAACTTACAATAAGTTAGTTTTTTTTTCTACACTAGAAATTCCCTAGAAATCTTATATATGGCACAACAATGTTTGCCGGGTTAGCTAGTTTGATATAAAATAAGTTAATAAAGTACCCCTGAGAGAAGACAATATAAACTTTATCGATCCGAATTTTATTAAATTTTCCTGTTTCAATTAGGGTGGTCTTAAATTTTTGGCCGGCAGTGTACATAACTAGAGTAAGATCGACTGACCTTATTGAAAATAAAAATAAAAATACTATTTTTCGAAAAGCGTGTCATGTACTTAAGTATTTGTGAGAAATCATTTGAAGCTTTAAATACGTATAAAAGCTTATGAAATTGAACAATGCAAAAGCTTGCGTATCTTATGTGTATATACGTATTTTTTTCTATTTAAATAAATAATATGTTTAGTTTTGGACCGCTTTATTAAATAATTCGTATCAATAGTTCTGGTAATAAAAAAGGAGACTGTCTCATTATAATTTAACCTGATTCTTATGAATAAGGGAGTACAAGAAACAAGAACAAAAATGGCTTCCGGGGCGCTGGTCTTTTTTTATTGCTTATATAGGTAGACGAGCTCACAGCCCACCTGGTGTTAAGTGGTTACTGAATCCCATAGACATCTACAACGTAAATGCCCCACCCAACTTGAGATATAAGTTCTAAGGTCTCAGTATAGTTATAACGGCTGCCCTACCCTACAAGCCGAAACGCATTACTGCTTCACGGCAGAAATAGGCACCTACCCGTGCGGATTCACTAGAGGTCCTACCACCAGTATCACTGTGTGGTCTCCGTACAATAAATTGTGCAAATTCTTAAAATGAGATGGTATCCTTCATTACATGTAGGTATGTCATCTGTTAACGTCTCAGACGCATATTTGCTTACAAAAATGATCAGTGTGACACGAAATGTCATCGCAACTAAATTATATGCATTATAAATGTTCAGAGTAGATCCTTCATAACACGTATTTGTCGTGTGCAAACCATTCAAAAATCATTCAGATTATTTATTAAGTATAAATAAATACACATCGACAATGACGGAAGGTCGTTATAAAAAAACTTGTTTTTGACAAACCACAAACGACAATTTGCGTCTTAAACGATCGTGATAAGGTTGAGAATTTAACGCGTTATTGTACTTGCTACCAAAAAAATACATAAAGAAAAAATGTTAAAATTAACTGCAAATTTCATTTTCGTTACCATGTTAGGTCGTTGATGATTATTCAATTGAGGTTGGGCGAATAATTACGCCACAACTCAGCCCTTCAGATGTTTTTCTTGCCCGCTAATTATAGGTGCTGTAACTTTTTTAAGCTAGCTTTAATGATCGGCTCAGTCTGTGTGTATTATGCTCTTCCTTCAGCCTATACTACAATTTTTTTCCTACCTATGCTGATAGCCTTGAGAGGCTATTTCAGCTTCGCCCTAACGTGTGTAGGTGAGCTCACGGGGTTCAAACCGGAGTGTTGCTAACACTGGCCCTAGCAAGAGCAGTGCTTCGCAGAATCTACGACCGGATCGGAAACGCGACCCACTGAGAAGATCCGGCGAGAAACTCAGCGGGCTGTGTCTATGGGTTAATTCGCTCGTCGAGCCCTTCGTCGCAAGCGACGGGTTCAACGAGGACGGTGACCGCACTACAATATGATCATCAAGTGTTATACTATAGGGTAGGTATTTTGAGTCTACAAGAGAGGTCATCCTGCCTATTTTTTCCAAAAAATATTTCTGTTTAATGGGCGAGAAGGCTACTAATTGTACTGTGTGCTTAGTGCCAGTTTTTTAACGCTCTCGATAGCGTAAAAGTTAACTCTCTGTATGGAGTTGGAACGTTTGCCTTCGTTTGCCACTAGAGGCGCTGTTCAAACAGCATACAAATTTGCGTTAACTTTTACGCTATCGAGAACATTAAAAAACTGGTACTAAGCAAACTGACTTAATAAACTTTTGTAAAATATGTGAGTGTTCCACATATCTATACGATCTTCTTCGATTTTATTTGTAGTCATAAAAATTAAAATTGCATTAACGGTTTTGATCACGCGTATTTTTGTCATTATTTGTATATTCCTAAATAAATATTTACTAAATGTCACCCCATCGCGCAAGACATTACCTATCTGTGATGGCGTTGGATAGGACATACTCTACGGCGCAGCGGAGTCAACGCAGTATCAATCGCGTTTGAACGTTTGGCAACCGCTTGGCAAGAGAAGAATTGTTCACCCTATACACACTTGGCGACGCACCGTGGAGATGAGGACTGCCGACGTGACCTGGAGTGATGTCAAGGAGCAAGCGCAAGACAGGGTCAAGTCGAGACAACTTGTGAGGGCCCTATGCATCAGCGGGGCACCCTAGGACTGCTATTACTACAACATTTA